CTCTATCTATCTATCTATATACATACATACATACATATAATTTTTTCCCTCCAATTACCCTAATACTGACAAAGGTCTCATGAGTTACAAATATCATCTTTCCATGCAGGAATGTAAACAGTTCAACCTTAATAAATCTCTTATGATTTCTCTTTCCTGTTTACCTCTTCATGTTCCACTTGAGTCTTGTATTGGAAAGTCAAATTTTCTATTCAGCTCTGGTCTTTTCATCCAGAATGCTTCAAAGTCCTCTATTTCACTGAATGACCATTTTTTCCCCTGCAGGATTATACTCAGTTTTGCTGGGTAGGTGATTCTTGCTTGTAATCCTATCTCCTTTGCCCTCCGGAATATTATATTCCATGCCCTGCGGTCCCTTAATGTAGAAGCAACTAAATCTTGGTTTATCCTGATTGTGTTTCCACAATACTTGAACTGTTTCGTTCTGGCTGCTTGTACTATTTCCTCCTTGACCTGGGAACTCTGGAATTTGGCTACAATATTCCTAGGAGTTTTCCTTTGGGGATCTCTTTCAGGTGGTGATCGGTGGATTCTTTCAATTTCTGTTTTGCCTTCTGGTTCTAAAATATCAGGGCAGTTTTCCTGGATCATTTCTTGAAAGATGATGTCTAGGCTCTTTTTTGGATCATGGCTTTCAGATAGTCCAATAATTTTTAAATTCTCTCTCCTGGATCTATTTTCCAGGTCAGTTGTTTTTCCAATGAGATATTTCACATTGTTTTCTAATTTTTCATTCTTTTGGATTTGTTTTACAGTGTCCTGATTTCTCATAAAGTCACTAGCTTCCAATTGCTCTATTCTAATTTTTAAGGAAATATTTTCTTCAGTAAGCTTTTGGACTTCCTTTTCCATTTGGCTAATTTTGCTTTTTAGGGCATTCTTCTCCTCATTGGCTTTTTGGACCTCTTTTGCCATTTGGGTTAGGCTATTTTTTAAGGTATTATTTTCTTCAATATTTTTCTGGGTCTCCTTTAGCAAGCTGTTGACTTGTTTTTCATGATTTTCTTGCATCACTCTCAGTTTTTCCTCTACTTCTCTTACTTGCTTCTCAAAATCCCTTTTGAGCTCTTCCAAGGCCTGGGACTGATTCATATTTTTCTTGGAGGTTTTGGATGTAGGAGCTTGGCTTCATTGTGTTCTTCTGGTTGTATGTTTTGATCTTCTTTGTCACCAAAGTAAGATAATGTAGTCTGACTCTTTTTGCATGGCTTACTCATGATCCCGGCCAATTACTTGAGTTTTAAACTCTTTGTTAAGGTAAAAGTCTGTTTTCAATGTGGAGAATGTACTGTCCCAAGCTTCAGGGGTTTGTACAGCTGTTTTCAGAGATACTTTCAGGGACCTGAAAATTTTCAGTTCTTCCAAGGTGGTATGATAAGGGGAGAGGTGTTTCCTCTCCACTGCCACAACAAGCTCCACCATACCAACATTCCTCCTCGCCCCAGGACCACCCCTCAGAACTCTGACCCAGATCCAAGCACCGGTAAAGCAAGAGATTCCTGCCTCAGCACTGGCAAAGGGATCCCTGCAATCCCCCTCTGATCAGCCACTCGATTCCCCCTCAGTCTGTGGGCCCGAAGCTCAGGAAATAGCCGCTGCCGGTGGCTAAGACCTAGCTCCTTCTCTCACCGCAGTCACAGACTTTTCCCACTGACCTTCTAAGTTGTCTTTGGCGTTTGTGGGTTGAAAAGCCTGGAAACCGCCACAGCTGCCCTCTGAGGCCTGCTACAAGGTCACGGTAGCCTGCGTGCCCACATTGAACTGCGCTCCTCTCCTTGCCTGGCGCGATATACCTTTCCGATCAACCATCCAGGCTGTCTTTGGCTGGAAATTTGTTTCACTCTGTCTTTTTGTGGGTTCTGCTGCTTTAGAATTTGTTTAGAGCCATTTTTTATAAGTATTTGGAGGGGTTTGGGGGAGAGCTCAAACAAGTCACTGCTTTCCCTCTGCCATCTTGGCTCTGCCCCTCCATGTAGGTGATTTCTAGTCCTGGTTTCTCTCCTGAACTCCACTTCCATCTTACCAACTGCCTACTAGTCATTTCAAATGGGTTCTCAACACAGCAAAAACTGACTTCTCAATATATTTTCCACCTCAAATCATCCATTCTTCTGAACTTTATTCTTTCAAGGTACCACCATCCTTCCAGTCACACAAGTTTGCAGCTCAATGTCATCCATAATTCCTCATCCCACACACACAATCTTGCATTCTATCAAACCACCAGTCCATTTCAGACACCCATCATCTCTCTCCTGGACTGTTGAAATCATCTCCTATTTAGTGTCTTGTTTTTAAAAAGTTTCTCCCCAGTCGAATCCATCCTCCACATAAATATGAAATGAGTTTCCAAAAGCACAGGTCTGACCTTGTCATCTCCCTACTTAATATAACTCCAGCAGTTCCCTATTAACTCTAGAATTAAATATGAACTCCCCTTCGGACATTTGAAACTCTCCATAACCTGGTCCCTTTCTGTTTTTCTAGTGTTCTTATACTCTCTTTCATGAACTTTGTAATGAAGCCATAATGGCTCACTTGCTCTATCACACACAAATCTCTCATCGCTGTGTCCCATGCTTGCAATGAACCCTCTGCTCCTCCTCTATCTCACTAATTCTTCCTCAGCGTAAGATGGAGACCCCCCCAGGCCCTCTCACTGTCTCCGAAGGTAAGGCCTTACCATCCGCCCCAAGTCTATGTTCTATTGGTCCGTCAGCACCGATATCATGAAAGTTTAAGACAGCTGTGTCTTGGAGCCAGCTCGTACTAATTTGCAAGAGCTGAATGTTAAATTTTCAGTGTGCAAACTTATACCTTGAAAAACAGCAAATGCTTCAAATCAAGATCTGATTTGTTCTGTAGATTTTCCAGTCTTAAGAAAGTGAGGGGGAAAATTTTAATAATGCAGATTAAATGTGAAAGTATGTTGTGTATACATCCTCCCTCCAACGAGTAGTTAAAATATTTACCTAACGACTCCTAGCCTTGACATCTGCTTCTCTGAAATAGCCTTGGGAATTTCCATGAGCACCACAGCCGAACTTTCTTTTATGTGCTATCTCCCCCAATTAGAAGAGATCTTTGAGAGGAACAAGGACTGACTTGTTTTTTCCTATTTGTATCCCCAGCATTTAGCTTAGTGCTTAGCAGTTAGTGCTTACTGAATGCCTTTTCTTTTATTCATTTCCTGATCCGTTCCAACTGCTAGTGTCCTTCCTCCCAAAACATGGCACTCATTTTGCATGTATTCTGCAAATATTTATATATGTGCACTCTGTCTTTACCACTGGAATGTAAGCTCCTTGAAGGGAGGGGCGGTTTTACTTTTGACTTTGTATCCCTAATGCTTAGCCTAACTACCTGGTCCATAATATGTGCTTAATACATGTTGATTGATTTTTTCTGAATTAACTATGTCAATGGAATCTGCCATCCATGTACAAATTCTCTAGCTTACTTCTAGAAGACCTCTCCCCACATTTCTCTCATCCATAAAATAAATCATAAAATAAATAAATGTGTATGTGTGTATATACATACACACACTCATAAAAATAAAAAATATGCTTGAAAATGTGGTGGGTGGGGGTGTGTGTGTGTGTGTGTGTGTGTGTGTGTGTGTGTGTGTGTGTGTG